GGCCGGCTCCCAGGACCTGGAAGCTGGTGGGAAACCCAGCAGCCAGAAAGCAAAGCTGCTTGCATCACTCAGGCATTCTGAACTCAGTTCCTACACCTGTAAAATGGGGATTACGATACCTCTTTGGGAGGCTAAATTCATATACAGTGGCTGACATACCAATAAAAGGTAGATATTTGTGTTGTCATTTCAACCCAAGCATGACGGATGTAGCTTCACAAAAAGCCCGCCCCAGTAGACCTATCCAGAGTGTTGGAAGCAGATTTTTGGCTCTGCACAGAAATACACTGCAGGTTTCTCCAGGAGTTATGGCGGAAGAAGAGACTTCGGGTCTATAAACACACAATTTGATGCTTTCCGAGAAAGGAATGGGCTTGGTCTTTTCACTAAGGCATATTGAAAGAAAACGTATGAGGCTAAATGGGGAAGTTGGAATCCTTCCTCGGTCAACATGAACGAGTCAACAGCTCAATGCCAGGTGTGGAAGGTGGGTGGGGTCCCAGCCCCCTGGGAGTTACATCTGGAAAAATACACACATACACACGCAAAGAGGCCCACACATGCAAAAATACAGGAACCACTGATTATGCTCTGGTTAGTTCTTAAAAGTGTGACAGTTTAACGGGAAGCTAATTCTGGGCAGAGGTGGGGCTGGGTGGTATTGGGAGGGACCCATTCCCCCCGGCCCCGACAGAGATGTATGTGCGGCGACTAAAGATGCAGCAGTTAAGTGGACTCATACTTTCAAGGCCTCAGAGATGTGGGGGGTCACTTTCCTCTGATCCTCAGTTTCCCCATGTTTAACCAGGAGATGGGAGTAGCTACAGTCACTAGTTTTCCGGGCTACAGACAATCACATTATACTATAATCTTCAGACTTGCAAAGAGAAGAGGCCTTAAATTTTCCAGCCACTTAAAAGAATTGCCCAGTGACAGTGACCAGCACAGGAAGATATACAAGTCACAGCAGGTTTTATGTAAAATACATTTCAATTAAAAAAAAAAGAAGGGCCTCCCCTGTGGCGCAGCGGTTGAGCGCTGGGCTGCGAAGCTGCCTGCAGCCTCTGCAGTGCTGGTTCGATCCCCGGCCGCCAGCGAGGGTCCCACATGGCGTGCAGACCTCTCCTGCCACCCGCTGCTCCCCTCAGCAGTGTACTTCGTCAGTCTGCCTGTTCTGTTCCCCGCTCTGGCTCTGGTGAATCCGCTCACCCTCCCGCACTTCTGACTGTACCCAGTGCTTATATAAATAAATAAATAAATCTTTAAAAAAGAAGAAAAAGAAGGTGACCAGTAGTCTTCTGGAGTCTCAGGAGCGCTGTATTTTTGGGACTGTGTCTCAGATGCCACTCTGGGGGGACTCTCAGTGGGACACAGATGGACAGGGCTCCAAATGCTCTGCTTAAAAAACAAGTTTAAACCCATTGCTTCCAGCGACCTCAAAGGTCTTTTTCAGCTCTAACAATCTGACCCCTGGCCCTCATCTGGAGGCTAAAGGGGGAACTCAGAATCCTGGAGCTGCATCCTGTCCAGCCCCAAAGCCAGGCGGGCAGATTCCAGGCCCGTGGGGACTCGGCTCTATGTGTGCACCCCATGAAGGCTGCCCCTGCTGCAGGGTCAGAAGACAGCTCCAGTCACAAGGCCAGCAGCGTAAGACGGAGACTGCCATTGGGAGGCTCCTGGACTTCCTGCAAGTGCCTCCGCTTGCTACATTTCCAATAGGGCCCCTTCTTTGACATTTTGCATGATAGCCACTCCTGATCACAGGTCCTCTGGCCACCCCATGGCCACTGGCCAGGCACAGCAGCGACCGCTGAGAGCGGGGGTGGGGGGGTGGGGGCGTGTCTGGACGGCCCCGGGCATCAGAAGGCCCTCCTTCCCACTCGCTCATAGCAACAGGCTGACGTTGTCCCTGCGAGCCAGCCAGCCGGAGCATTAACGAGGAAGATCAGTCTCGTCCGCCTGCCAAGCCTCCCATTAGCTCTCCTGCACCTCCCTCCCTCCCTTCACCAGCTCATGGCCCGGCCCCGACCCTCTCCCCGCCTCTACCCTCTGCAAACTCCAGACTCCTCTAAATGCTACATCGTAAGTGGGAGCGCTGGCTGAAGCAGACTCATGGGGTCCCTATAAAGATTTAGGGTCTGGACCAGAAGGTGGTTCAGGTGTTCCAATGTTGCAAGAATACGACCTTTAAATCTGGGTGGCAAGGTGAACACCGAGGCTATTCGAAGATTCATCACCAGAGCCGGTACCAACCAGGCCTAACCCGACAGCTGCCTGCTCAGCCAAGGGAGGTTCCCGGGGCCACCATTTTTCAAAACTGCAGGGAGGTTAGCAAGGATAGCAGGGGCTGACAGGAAAGACGAGGAGGAGACAGAGGCAGAGCTGGAGAGAGATGAGAGGGAAGAGCAGAGAGGGGGCAGAAAGCAGAGGGATAGAGACAAAGGACAAGAGATTGTTTTGATTTATCAGAGGGGAAAAACTGCCTGCAGTGGAATAGCGCTGCTTCTTAATCAAAGCTTTATTAAGTTTTGGTAATAAAAAGCTCAATATTTTTGCATAGGATAAAACAGCAAAGGGACCAAACTTCCAGTTCTGCAAAATGGAAGCAGACTTCACACATGTGGGGGCTGAGAGGAGGGGCCCATAGGATGCAAGGCACGGGACAGGGATCAGAACATCCTGGCCCATGTGCACCCCAAAAGGACCCTTGCTGGAGCAATGGGGTTTTCATTCTGGGGATCCTAAACTGCTGAGACAATTAGGAAAGAGGCCCAAGACTGCCGAGCTTATTTTGCCTCCCCTGCCCAGGCAGAAGAGAGACTGAGCTCGTTCCCCTGTCTCCCCGCCTGGTTCTCAGCATCCGCACTAGAAGGCGAGGACTGGCACTCCCCCACCCCCGGCCATTCCATGTTGTTACAGCCGGGAGGGGGTGCCACGCCTCTCAGCCCCCCAAGTCCTGCTCCTCCCGCCCCTGAGGCACCATAAGACTTGGAAGGACTTTGGGACCGTGGGGCTCTAGCCCCAGGTTTGGTCCAGGACACTGACCAAGGAACAGGCCTCCGGCTTGCTCTCGTGAAGGGGTGCGCAGGTCAGAGGTCTGCTAACATAACCAACTTTCACATCAACAGCAAGCATCAGGCCAGAACCCTCACCCCCTGGATGGAGAGTAGCCTCAGGAGCTAGAGGTTTTCATACAGGTGCCCAGGTATCAGTGCCAGACGGTGAGGTGTGAATGCTAGACAGAACTCGGCTTCCTACACTTGGGTTCAGCTGACACTTATCTGGGATCCAAATTGACAGAGACCCCAAGTCACCAGGTCTTAACAGTGTGTGGAGAGAATCCAGAGCATCCAGAAAATGCCACAACACTCATCCCTCCCCCACTGCACCCCAGCCTAAAGGGAGTAGCACCACGCGCACCCAAACAGGCTCCACCTCAACACCTTACAGACAGACCCAGCAGGGGTCACTGTTCTGTCCTCCTCCTTGACACACCTGGACATTTAGACACAGTCCCCTTTCCTGCAAAGCTCAGATGTGACCTCAGAGCCCTACCCACACCGGGAGCTGGCCCTTGTCACAGAGCCTATCTGGCTTCCTTGTTCTAAGATTCTCTAGGTCTCTAGGTGTGTGGTATGTGCATGTGCACATGCATGTGTGTGCATGTGTATGATATATGCAGGTGTGTACAGTTGTGTGGTGTGTGCATATGTGTGGTGTGTGTGCAGGTGTATGGTGCAAGCAGGTGTGTGCAGGTGTGTAGTATGTGCAGGTGTGTGGTATGTGCATATGTGTACAGGTGTATGGTATATGCAGGTGTATGGTGTTTGCAGGTATATGCAGGTGTGTGGTGTGTGCAGGTGTATGGTATATGCAGGTGTGTGCACTTGCATGGTGTGTGCAGGTATATGGTGTGTGCAGGTATATGGTGTGTGCAGGTGTGTGCAGGTATGTGTGCATACGTGTGTGAGGATAGAAAGGTATCCCATGAACGTCAAGGCCTCACCTGCAGGCTGAGGGTGCTGGGGTAGAGGAGAAAGCTGCACGCCACCCAGGCTCCTCAGCCCCTTTCCAATCCGACAGTCCAAGAACTTGTATCTTGCACCAAGTTCCACCAAACCAAAGGAACCCAGCTTCCCCTCCTTGCCTTCCGTCACCCAGGGGAGGCGCATCATGTGGCCCTTTCTTGGTACTTCAGTCGACAGAGATGGATGGTTGGGGGAAAAGGGTGTTTTCATTTTTATTTATTTATTTTTACGTTTTATTAAAGTTCACCTATTACCCACCAGCCTCGGGCTCCCTATCGAGAAACAAATATCACAATTGCAGCAGCTGACTTCCAAGGTGCCAAATTAAAATAGATGAAGAGGTAAGGAGGGGAAAAATAAAGCCATTAAGCCAAGGCTGCTTCGCTCCCCGGCACAGGATGCCTCCTGGTCCACCACACACACGAAACTGACTCCCAACGCAATTAGACCAGGGCTACGAGGCAGGAGGAAACAATCCCCAAATTATTCAGACCCTCAGAGCTGTGCTTTTTTGCAATTTCTCAAGTAGCAGATAAAAGAGCCAGCTTGTTAATATAAATTAACTATCAACGCATGCACTGCCAAAGTGACCCCCAGCACCCCGCCCGCCCGTCTGCAGCCAGGGCAGACACAGACGCCAAGCCTCAGCAGCCCACGGCCCCCACTCTGGCGTCTAGGCTTCCCCACAGGACATCCCACTGGGGCCTGGGGCGGCTGCCGCAGCCCTTGTCCTAAGGTCCTGCGGGCCCTGTCAGAAGGAGCTGGAGGCGCCAGGTCTGCTAAGGCCACGCTCCGCTGCAGGGGTCGTCTCCCTGCGCCCACCTGGCACCCAGTGGACTCTGAAGCCCTGGGCTCCGGCCAAATCCTCCCCCACCCCACAGACAGGAGGGTTCTCTTGCTTCCCGGTTGAAAAGGAGCCCCCAGAAGCGTAGCTTTCACTCAGCTCAGAAGGGAAGGAAAAGAGGTGCTTACTGGGTCTCAGCAATGCCGCCAGAGCTTCCGTGGCAGTCCTGGGGGAGAGAGAAAAGTGGAGGCGTCAGCATGCAGGCCTTTCCATGGCCTCCGTGGCCCAGGGCGGGGCTCCAAGCTGCCACCACCGCCCCGTTGTGAGCACATAGTGGGCCTTCCCCTCGCTGCTGGCCATTCAAGAGGCACCAGTGCAGGAACCAGCCCAGGTAGGGTGAGATGTCAGCCTTCCGGCTCCCCCCCACCTGCACCTCCTTCCCTGCACTCTTGCTGGTTTTCCTGTTGCTCCTCCAGACCAGAGTGCTTGTCAGTCTCTTAATTTCTACCTGGAGACATGGGGGCTCGGGATGCCGGGCCAGGTGGGGAGGGCACACGGAGGCTGAGTGAGCACAGAGGGGCTGCACAGACTCCTTGAAGCACTCAGCCCCCTGGAGACACCCTGAAAAAATTTCATTTCACAAGCTGGCAAGTGAGGCTGATTCCTTAGGGTGGAAAATGGTTATGTCGTGATTTTTTTCCCAAATTCACTGTTTTCTTCCATGGAGGAGTTTCATAACCTTTGCAATGACAGGCGGCTTCTAAGAATAAAAATGCCTTTGGCCCATGTCTTAATGACCCTTCAATCGTTCCAGAGCCCGGGAAGCTCACCCGAAGTCTCCCCCACTGGACAGAGGAAAAAGTCAAGGCATTGAGGACATGAGCTGAGATGCTGCGAGACAGAGTTTTGTTTCCTTGTTTTTTGAAGATGGGGAGCACTGCACTGTGAAGCTGTCCACAGCCTCTGCAATGTGGGTTTGATCGGAAATCCCACATGGCACAGCAGACCTCTCCTGTCTCTCCCGCTGCTCCCTCCAGCAGTGTTTTTCAGTCAGTCTGCCTGTTCTGCTCCCCACTCTGTCTCTGGTGAATCCTCTCACCCTCCTGCGCATCTGGCCTGTACCCCGGTTCTTGCATAAATAAAAATCTTTTAAAATAAATAAAACCACAGATCTTCGTCCACTTATGATGGGGCTATGTCCTGATAAATCCATTGTAAGTTGAAAATATCGTAAATCAAAAATGCATTTTATCCAACTCATGCAGCAAACCCCCGAGCATAGCCCTGCCCACCACAAAGAGCTCAGAACACTCAGTTAGGCGAAATCAGCAAACACAAATCCCATAGTACAACAGAGTACGCTGAACATCTCGCGTAACCTCCTGCAGGCTGCACTGAAAGCAAAGAGCAGGGTGGCTCTGCGGCTGCACAGAGGACGTCCCCTCACACCATCGTAACATCAAAGATCTAAGTGGATCCACGATCAAGGGGTCCCCAGTGACACCCTTCAGACCTGTCACACAGTGGCCTGGTCCCGCCTCGCTCTGAGGACTAGGGGAGCAGGACAAAGAGACAGGGTCAACCTTCCAATATTATGAGATGGGAGCAGAGCTGGGACCCCAAGCCCAGGAATCTCACTTCCCACTTAGTCTTCCGCAATCTGCCCTGCCCTGCCTGGTGGTGAGAGCCACGTCCCCTGTGATGCACGAGCTCACAGTGGCAGCGGCCAGCAGTGGCAGCATCAACCACCAAAATAGAACAGAAACGAGGCACTGGAGACAGCATTGCTTCCTTGATCTCCAAGGGCTCCTGCAAAAGCAGTGGCTTGAGACCCCCAGGCCCCCAGACACACACACTGCTGGGATAACCCGCAGTTCAGGAGACCAGCAAACCCCAAGGCAGCCATAAAGAAGGTGAGACTAGTTTTCATTGGTGGGCACCTTCACTTCCCAACCGGTCTCCTCTGATCAGCTTTCAGCTCCTGCAGTCCCACTCCTTGGTGTGGCACAGCTTGGCAACACGACAGAAGAAGCACCTCAGCAGTGCTGCTAGGATCCAGCCGGGCTGGGAAATCTAAGAGCCGCGGCTTAGGATCTGGCCCTGGCTGGGAAAAATGAACACCAGATCTGCGGGAAAGGCAGCGTGGCCGGGTTGATTTCATCACAGGAGGTTACAGGAGAAGCAGGAAACCACTGGGCATGACAGAATGACACTCCCCGCCAAGGGCCCGCCGAACCCCCACCACAGGTCTGCGAGGGCAAACCTGCACCTCCGTCCCCACGGCACTTTGTTTTGCGGCGCTCATGCATGAGGTGACGATCCATGTGCTAATAGTTCCAGGAAGGACAGGCAGGCAGCAGGCCGAGCAGTTAGGAGGAAGAAGAGAGGGAGTCTAGGCTTAGAGCCTTGCGACGCAAAGCCTGTGTCTCCCGCCGGCAGCTGCTCATCTCCTGGGGCCGAATGGAAATGCAGAATCTCGGGCCTCACCCCCAACCTGCTGAGTCACAACCTCCATTCCAACAGATAATCCGCACGCAGGTCAGCGTTGGGGAATAGCCGAGTGCCCACACAGCCCAGTTATTCCTGGATGTGGAGACAAAGATTCAAGGTGACTGCCAGATCCCAGCCCTCTAGAAAATGGCTGGTGCCTGAGAGCACAACAGCCATGTTACTCAGGGGACACATGTGAAGTGAGCGATTCGTGCAAGAGGTGAGGGTGGTTCCTGAGTCACAAGGAAAGATTTGCTTCTTTGTGGACCACAGCTGAGTCGTGAGTCGTGCAGCCAGGGGAACACTTGGGACCGTGATGGTCAGACAGCTTCAGGCCCTACCACGCATTCTAGAACACTGCAATTCAGTCCCACAGATAAGAAACCACTTGATTTGTTTATTTTTTGTTTTTTCTTTCGATCAAGGGAGTATGATGGCAAGGATGGAAAAGCGAGAGGAAGGTTGTGAGCAAGGAATTAACGAGATTTGATGCAGGCAGGTTACCAAGGGCAAAGGAAGGCTCAGTGGTGACCTGGAGTCTTCAACCAGAACAAATGGGAGGACAAAAAGCCCCTTAATGGACTAAGGAGGGAGCCTGAGGTGTTCAGAGATGATGACATTGATTAGGCAGAGCAGGAGGTGACAGGGACAAGCACACGGAACTACACTCAGCACTGAGGATGTGGCGGGAAACACAGATGGAGAATTCTAGAGCGCACCCAGAGCTGGGGGTCTACACCCCTGTGGAAGCGAGGAGAAGGACTCAGGGAAAATATGAAGGAGCAGGGGGAGACCCAGGGGCATCAGTTTTGATGTGGAAAGTCCCTAGACATTGCAAGCACACAGCTTTTCAAACCGCAGGTGGAGATCTGATAGTAGATTATAAAATCGTGACTTTACCTCATCGACAAGGGGAGTATCTATACCAAGGATGTAAATAAGACAAAGCATCGTAGGATATAACATAATCACATAGAAGCACGCTCGCATTTCTGCCATACGTGATTGGTTAGAAACATGTCCCAGCTGGCACCCCCACTCAAGAGGAGGGGATAGAACAAAAGCATAAACCCGGTGGGAGCCCCTGAAAGCTCGCAGCTCTTCGCAGTCTTTAGCATTCAGGTACCAGGATCCCAATATTACCCTAACCTACATGTGATCCTCCCTCATCTTCGTCTTCCTGGGAAATGGAACTACCATTTTTCCAGAGACTGAGCAAGCCTCCTTCTCACCCAATTGCCCTCACAGTGTAGATCTCACCCAACAAGAGCAGTTTTAGTCGTCCATTCCTTTTCATCTGTGTGGTTTTCACCCTAGCCAAGCACAAGGGGGCTGGCACTTCTCTGATAAATGTAATTTCTAGAGTTATTGGTCCTTGGTTGAATATTACATTTTAATTTCCTGTGTAATAAATCATATGAACTGCATAATCATTTTCAATATATTAGAAATTACAGTTAAGCATAAAGAAAGAGAATAAATTAAAACCACCCAAATATCTCTCACCTAACTACTGCGGTACCCCCAGAAAGACTCCATCCATAGCCACTTCAGGATCCCTTCAAATCGTTCCCCAGTAATGAAAGAAATGGTCTCAAGAAGAACCTCTGATTAGGATACCCTCACATTGCTACCACTTCACCTACTCTTGTTCTTGGATAAAACCCCAAATCATGGTGATGGATGCCTTAATAGGTCTGACCACTGCCACCCTCTCCCTCCTGCACGTGTTCCCATCACGTGTCTTTGGGCTGTGCTGACATACAGCCTGCCGTGCTCTGGGCCCTCCCTTCTGCCTTCCCCTGCAGCTCACACAGCTCATCCTCACATCCACTCCCGTGCCCCTGAGTCCTCCCTCAGGTGTGGTTCACTCTTATTTTTTCCCTTTCCACATGGCACAATTCAGTATGTAATGATTAACTCATCATGTGATCATTTGATCGATGTCTGTGTCCTCTTCCGTCTGTAAGCTCCAGAAAGCACTTCATTTTGCATTATTCTACCCCCTCCATTTAATGGAATTTGAATATACAGCACCATCAAGTATTTGCTGAATTGTTTCCAGAAGTCTGGCTCTGGTTTAAAAGCACTTACCTGTTATTCATTCATTCAGAAATACTTATCAGCCACCGACTACGTGCTGGGATAAAATCATAAAGATTCTGTACTCCAAAGGGTTAGAATTGGGGTAAAGGAGACAGTTAATTGACAGTAATTTCTAAAATATATTAATATTCTAAAATGTGATAAATGCTAAAAAAAATGAAAGAAATAGAACACAGTAAAGAGATTAGATGTATGAGGGTAGGATGCAAGTTTTATTTATTTATTTTTAATTTTATTTTTATATTCCCCATACAATTGCACCCCCCTTATTTTGTCCCCAATCCCTCCTTTCCCTGCTCCCCCCATAGTGTGTCTCTGGTTCATAGTTGTTTGTTGATTTTGATTTTTTCTTTCTTATAGTTATTCTTTTTCCTGGTCCCTTTTTTAGGCTTTCTAGATTCCTGTTATGGGTGAGACCATCCGGTATTTTTCTTTTTCTTTCTGGCTTATTTCGCCGAGCGTGATAGGATACAAGTTTTAAAAGGCTGATGGGAGTAGGCCTCATGGGTAAGGCAACATTTGAACAAAAACATGGAGAACAGAAGGAAGTTGCCGTAGAACACCAGGAGGAGGTAGGTGTGGGCACCTAAGATGACCACTGGCTTGATCTGAACAAGGAAGAGCATGTTG